GACACCAAACGTGTACGCAATGACACCCAGACGCCCATCCGCCTTGCCGTTTGTCCCCCACACACTCGGTCACATTTTCACACAAGTCAAATCACGCAGGGACAGAACAGGGGGAAATAACCACACAGTCGTTCCTCAGAGGTACGAAGAGACTCACATAGAGGCCCCCAGAGCCCAGGCCCAGCGTCTCCAACAGGTCCGAAGGCCCCGCCGCCAGCAGGCACGCGGGGACAGCAGCCCGCTTCCCCTGGTCCGCACGGTCCTGAGCTCCCGAGTAACCAGAGCGCACTCCAGGGCTGAGAGAGGAAATGGTCGTCCCAGATCCAAGACAGGCTGCCAGGCTGGGCTCCAGGCCTGGGCGGGGGGGCCCCCACGCTGGGCCCCTCGGCCCCCCAGCCTCAGCCCCCTCCGGCTTCCCCATTGGCAGCAGAGAGAGGGGAAACTTCATCAGTCACAGAGAGGGGCTGACAGAAGGGAGAGAGTCACAGAGACAGAGAAGGGAGAGACACGAGGAGATGGGAGAGACACAGGGAGAGGAGGGGAGACATGAGAGGGAAGAAATGGGGATGAGACGGAGACAGCGGAGAAAGGCGGAAACTTATAGATGATGAAAGAGACACCGGTGACAAAGTCCGGACAGAGGGAGACACAGACAGACCATGGAAGGGGAGACAGCCGGGGGATGGGGATAGATTGGGGGTGGGACGAGAGCTGGGGGAGGGGAGAGACAGGCTCAGTCCAGGGAGGGGGCGTCCCTTCCCCCTGCTGCAAGGTTTTGGGGTAGAAGCCAGGGGCCTGAGGCCAAGACTGTGGCTTTGAGCGGAAGAGGAGAGGGGGCGAATTATTCACGAAGCGCCCGCCTTGCCCTGAGTTTCCAGAAGGTGATGTGGAGTTTCCATCCCTCAGTCTGTCCGCAGACGGGGTCCCCGAGGAGGACAGCTGGCCCTCAGGAGCTGGCGAACGAAAATGAATAACTGTCACAGGCCCTAGTCCCTGCTGTGGCTTCTCCCCAAGTGCCTGGCGCTAGTGTGCCAAGCATCGTGCATACAGTATCTCTCTTAATCGGCGGGCCCCGGGGACATGATCATCTCGTTTTGGGATACTTTAGGCGCCTCGGAGTGGAGAAAGCCGTTATATCACAGCTGGAGAGGAAATAGGCCGAGACGGGATTCGAACGCGCAGACCGGTTTCTCCGAAGCCGGGAGCCTCATAGCCCCGCCCCCAGTTTCCGTGGAAACAGGCACCCGGTGTCTCCATAGCAACCCTTCCAAAGATTCCACCTCCACCCCCCGCTCTCGGAGGCAACCTGATGCGCAGGCCCGTCTGGTGACGTCATCGCGCCGCGCCAGTCTCACGTGACGCCTCCCAGGCGCCGGAGGTGAGCAAGAACCGGGCCGGAAGCGGCCGACAGAGGCGGCCTCGTGGAGGAGACGGCGGCATGGGACAGTCCGGGCGGGTGAGACGCGGCGGCCGGGCAGGAGGGGAGCGAGGACGGGGTCCCTGCGGAGGGCTCGGGGCTCACTGCGCGTCTCTTGTCCCCGCAGTCCCGGCACCAGAAGCGCGCGCGCGCCCAGGCGCAGCTCCGCAACCTCGAGGCCTATGCCGCGCAGCCGCACTCGTTCGTGTTCACGCGGGGCTGCGCGGGTCACAGCATCCGGCAGCTCAGCCTGGACTTGCGGCGGGTCATGGAGCCACTCACCGCCACCCGCCTGCAGGTCTGCACCACGAACTCCGCCTCCACCCATCCTGGGCCCCATCGTCGCGGCTGCGGTTCTGACACCCGCTGTAAAGCCGTGAGAGGCCTCAGTCTCCCCGGCTGGAGAAAGGGACACTCGTGGGGACCATTGTCTTTGCTTCTCAAGGCTTTGTGGGGCTTAGTTGGTTGCCTGAGCCTGACGGTTAAGACTGGACTCTGAGGCCGGGCGCGGTGGCTCACGCCTGGAATCCTAGCACTCTAGGAGGCCGAGGCGGTAGGGAGCATTGCTCGAGCTCAGGAGTTCGAGACCAGCCTGAGCAAGAGCGAGACCCCGTCTCTACTAAAAAGATAAAAATTAGCCGGGCGTCGTGGTGTGTGCCTGTAGTCCCAGCTACTCCAGGAGGTTGAGGCAGGAGGAGCGCTTCAGCCCAAGAGTTTGAGGTTGCTGTGTGCTAGGCTGAGGCCACGGCAGTCTACTCAGGGCAATGGAGTGAGACTCTGTCTCAAAAAAAAAAAGAGTGGACTCTGCAAACAGTGGGATTGGAAACTTTACTTCTCCCAGAGGCCCTGGAGCAAGTTTTACTTAACCTCGCTGGACCTCAGTTTGCTCATCTGTCAAATGGGGAGATGCACCTAAGCAAGGGGCAGTGGTGGTACTCAATTCAAGTCTGATTGATTGGCTCTAAGGACCAGGGTTCTGTCACTCCCTTGGGCTTGTCAGAAGGGTCAGATGCAAGATAGAGCATATAATAGGATCATCGCCTTACGCTTACAGTGTTTGCTCAGTAAGGGATAGCTATGTTTGTCCTTTTTCTTTTTGTAACTTTCAGGTTCGTAAAAAGAACTCACTGAAGGACTGTATAGCGGTGGCTGGACCTCTTGGGGTCACACACTTCTTGATCTTGAGCAAAACAGAGACCAATGTCTACTTTGTAAGTGGACACCCTCCCCCTTCACGTCCCACAGGCCCCTCAACGTCCCCCATCTCTTGTGATGAACCCGTTTGCCTCTGAGCTGCCATGATTTTGGCTTCAAAGTAAACGCTCTGAAGAAGAGTTGGGGCGGAGGTTCCCACTCCCCACCCTCCCCGGCTCCCTAAGTAGACAATTCTACCCTCGCTGATCCTTTGTTCTCCTGCAGAAGCTGATGCGCCTCCCAGGAGGCCCCACCTTGACCTTCCAGGTTAACAAGGTGAGGGCTGGAGGTGGTAGGAGGGCCATGTGGGGTGGGAGCTGGGCTTGGGGGTGGCCCCAGTGTGTGCGGTGGGTGGTCACTCGCTCCTCGCCCTGCCCTGCCCTGCAGTACACACTGGTGCGTGATGTGGTCTCCTCACTGCGCCGGCACCGCATGCACGAACAGCAGTTTGTCCACCCCCCACTCCTGGTGCTCAACAGCTTCGGCCCCCACGGCATGCACGTGAAGCTCATGGCCACCATGTTCCAGAACCTGTTCCCCTCCATCAACGTGCATAAGGTAGGCTTGGCCTGGCGAGGTGGCGGGTGTGGGGTGGATGGAGCAGGCAGTGCGTACCACAGGCCCTGGCCTGATGGCTGAGGTCAGATTTTCCTTGTGTTCAGTGACGCTCAGCAAAAGTGTCCAGGGTTTTACCCCCAGCCCCGTGAGCAGCCTCCTCGTCTGGCAGATGCGAAACGATGCCAGTGATTTTTTTTTTAAGAGTCAGGTTCTGGTCTGGCTTTGTCGCCCAGGCTGTAGTACAGTGGTGTAATCATAGCTCACTGCAGCCTTGAACTCCTGGGCTCAAGGGATCCTCCTGCCTCAGCCTCCCAGAGCACTGGGATTATAGGCGTGAGCCACACCACGCCTGGCCAGGCCTGGATCTTTACATCTGTCTGGCTCCAAAGCCCTAGCCCCGAATCCCTGGCACCTTTGATTCTCAAGTTGGGCTTATTATAAAAGTGCCAGTCATCAGGAAGTCTGATGCGGGTGGCCTCAGTGGGGCCAGCACCCCAGGCCATGCATGGACACCACTTGCAGCCCCATAGCCCCCGCGCTCCCCCCACACTTGCCGTGTCTGCCGGAGCATGCGGTGAGGCCGCTAGCAGCCCACGCCCTCTGCCTCTCCCAGGTCAACCTGAACACCATCAAGCGCTGCCTTCTCGTCAACTACAACCCTGAGTCGCAGGAGCTGGACTTCCGCCATTAGTGAGTGTTCCAGGACGGAGGGGGCGCAGGGTGGGGCTTCCCAGTGCGGCTGATGACAGCACTGCCTCTGAGGCTCTGTGATTGCTCAGTCTCAAAGTAAACGCCCTGACGCGCTCTGGAATAGCAGGGGACGTGGAGCTGACCTCCGACCCCATGACCCTAAGCCCCTCTCCCTGCCTGTTCCTGCCCCTGCAGTAGCATCAAAGTCGTTCCTGTGGGAGCAAGTCGTGGCATGAAGAAGCTCCTCCAGGAGAAGTTCCCCAACATGAGTCGCCTGCAGGACATCAGCGAGCTGCTGGCCACGTGAGGAGGGCACAGGGCGGGAGGCTGTGCAGGGGACCCTAGAGCTGTCCCTGGAGCCTGGGATCCCCAGCTGAGCCCCACATGTTCCCCACACAGGGGTGCGGGGCTGTCAGAGAGCGAGGCGGAGCCCGATGGTGAGCACAACATCACTGAGCTACCCCAGGCGGTCGCGGGACGTGGCAACATGCAGGCCCAGCAGAGCGCCGTGCGGCTCACGGAGGTGAGGCCCGGTGGCAGCGGTGACTTCCTCTGGCAGCCCCCTGCCCCAAGGAAGGACTGACTGTCTTCTCCCACGTGTCTCCCAGATTGGTCCTCGGATGACACTGCAGCTCATCAAGATTCAGGACGGCCTCGGGGAGGGCAAAGTGGTGTTCCATCGCTTCGGTGAGGCTGGGACTGGGACGCGGTGATGGGGGAGGGGTCACAGGTGCTGGGTGCGCTCAGTGAACCACGCCCTCTGCACAGTGCACAAGACGGAGGAGGAGCTCCAGGCCATGCTGGCTGCCAAGGAGCATAAGCTGCAACTCAAGGCCCAGAGACAGGCCCAGCAGGCCGAGAACGTGCAGCGCAAACAGGAGCAGCGTGAGGCCCACAGGTCTGGGGCTGCGGGCAGTGGGTGGGCGGGGTTCCCAGGTGCAGGTGGCCACATCCACTGACACCGACTGACACCACCGCCCCCAGGAAGAAGAGCCTGGAGGGCATGAGGAAGAAACGGGCCAAGGCCGACGGAGACAGTGATGCCGAGGACCCTGGGACCTCTCTGGAGGACAACCAGAGGGAGGAGGAGGAGGATGAAGCCGAGTATTTCCGCCAGGCCGTGGGCGAGGAGCCTGATGAGGGTGTGTGCCAGGGTGTGTGGGGCTGGGCGCCCAGGGTCTGTCCTTGTTTCCTGGGGGCCCTGACACGGTCCCTCCCTGCAGACATGTTCCCCATGGCGGCCAAGCGGAGACGACACACCTGGTCTTCGGGCAGGCCACAGCGGGGACGGGACCGAGGCAAGGGCCGCCACAGTGACCAGAGACTTCCAAAGCCCAAGGACAGGCTTCAGGGAGCCCAGACCAAGCTGGGGTCCAGAGGGGCTGCCCGGGGTCGCCGGCGAGGCCAGCCACGGCCACCCAAGAGAGTGGCCTGAGCCCCAGCTCGAGCTGCGGACGGAATGCCCCAGATTGGGGCCCGAGAGACCGGCCCTGGGGCTCCAGGTGCGGCCCTCGGTTTCCTTTCATAAAGGAGCCGTTTCCCTCCTTCCCGCCGCAATAAATGCCTGAACGGGCTTCGAGTCTGTGTCTGCTTCCGGGATGGGGTCCACCCAGAGCGCCCGGGCCAGCAGCACCCAGCATTCCGACCTGGTCTCCGCCCTGAGGTGGGGTGGTTTTACTGAGGGGGCCGCAGGCAGGGCTGGCCACAGTCTGGCGGTCCTGGGCTTGTCCCCAGCAAGGGCCCTGTTAACCTGTGTGCCTGAGAGGCCGTGGTGCCGAGAGGAAGGAGGAAGGAAGCGGCTGAGGTTAGAGCTGCCGCCGGGGAGGGGCCAGCCATGCTGAGTGCAGCTTGGGGAGGGGCCTGGGCACCGCGTGGGTGGCAGACCCAGAGGCTGGGTGCGTGCGGAGCATGGCGGCCACCATCTTGGGTAAGGAGCGGGTGATGGGTCAGGTAGGGAACAGCCACTGGTTTTCAGAAAGTTTGGAAGGGAGTTGGGTTAAAACCCAGGTCTGGGCCCAGCAGTCCTGGTGGGGAGGGGTGTCCCTGCCTGCAGGGAGTGGGTACAGGGGAGGAGGGAGCCGCCCCAGTGCTGCTGGGTGCCGGGCCCTGCCATGGGCAGGAAGGGCACCCTTCTCTGCTGAAGGGCATGTTCTCAGGGATCACAGGGAGCTGGCAGGCTGTGGAGGAAAACTCGACAAGGAGGCAGGCGTGCAGGGTGCACTGTCAATGTCAGGGTGGCCAGGGCAGGACCTTCGGGGATGGGCCAGAAACCAGGAGGAGGTGGGAAGGGAGCCTTCAGGTCTGGCAGGTGACTCAGGCAGAAGGAACAGCCCGGGAGCCAGAGTGGCGCTGCTGTAGGGTGTGAGTCAGGGAGCGCAGGAGGAGGTGGGAGTGTGTGGGGTGGGGCCACAGGGGTGGCCCTGTGGGATGAGTCTGGCAGCAACCGGGTTAGCATCTGGGAGCAGACAGGCCGGACTGATGCGGCGCTCACTAGCACCCCCTGGTGGCTGTGGGGAGAATAGACGGGTGACGGCCACAGCCAGGAGTCCAAGGCAGAGGCGACTGGGCTAGTCCAGGTAGATGGGGGACTGCACCTGGGTGGGGCTGAGGGCGGGACAGTACTTGCTGACAGACCTCGAGGAAGGTTGTAGTGGGCTTGGGGACTCCTGTTCCTCCGCCCCAGCCCAATGGCTCACGGTGGGCACAACCAAGTTATATGTGCAACCTGAGGCCGGGGACTGCCTGGTTTGCCCCAGCTGTTCCTTGGGGGCGAGGGACCTGGGAGAGCCCCACAAACTTGTCAGCTGAATGACGGCCCCAGATTCCATATAAAGGAGCTGAGCCTGGCCCCCCTTCCAGGGAGAGGAAAGGACTCAAGTCAAGGGACAGGTCTGCCCCATCAAACAAGGGCTCTGGGGCAGCAGGAGCCACTTTCCCAGAGGACGGGTCTCGGCAGCGACACCTTCTGTCCACAGGTGCCAAGCCGTGCCCAGCCAACTTCTCGGCGGCTGCCGACCGCATCCTCAGTAGGTTCCAGGGGGACTTCCTGTGGCCCGTGCTGGTGGCCGAGTTCCTGGTGGCTGTAGTTGCCAATGGCCTGGCCCTGTACCGCTTCGGCACGCGGGAGCAGCGCCCATGGCATCCGGCTGTGGTCTTCTCTGCCCAGCTTGCGGTCAGTGACCTGCTCTGTGCCCTGACGCTGCCCCCGCTGGCCGCCTACTTGTACCCGCCCAAGCACTGGCGCTACGGGGAGGCCGCGTGCCGCCTGGAGCGCTTCCTCTTCACCTGCAACCTTCTGGGCAGCGTCATCTTCATCACCTGCATCAGCCTCAACCGCTACCTGGGCATCGTGCACCCGTTCTTCACCCGCAGCCACCTGCAGCCCAAGCACGCCTGGGCCCTCAGCACCGCGGGCTGGGTCCTGGCAGCCCTGCTGGCCGCGCCCACCCTGAGCTTCTCCCACCTGAAGAGGCCGCAGCAGGAGGTGGCCAGGTGCAGCGTGGCCAATCCCGAGGCCTGCATCAAGTGCCTGGGGACGGCGGACGAACTCCGGCTTGAGGCCTACAGGGCCTACAGCCTGGCGCTGGCGGGGCTGGGCTGCGGCCTGCCTCTGCTGCTCAGCCTGGCGGCCTACAGCGCCCTCGGGTGTGCCGTGCTGCGCAGCCCTGGCATGACCGCGGCCGAGAAGCTGCGTGTGGTAGTGCTGGTGGCCAGCGGTGTGGCCCTCTATGCCAGCTCCTATGTGCCCTACCACATCACGCAGGTGCTCAATACGGATGCCCGGCGGCGCTGGCGTGCCCGCTGCCCGGGCTTTGCGGACGTGGCGCAGGCCGAGGCGGCCCTGGAGCTGGGGCCCTACCTGGGCTACCAGGTGATGCGGGGCCTCATGCCCTTGGCCTTCTGCATCCACCCGCTGCTCTACATGGCCGTGGCGCCCAGCCTGGGCTGCTGCCGCCAGCGCCGCCCCAGCTGTGGCAGGGGCAGGAACCCAGAAGACGCCAAGAGCACCGGCCAAGCCCTGGCCCTTGATGTCACAGCCACCTCCAAGAGCTCAGAGCCCCAGTCCCCCGAGCTGAGCCCATGACCTGGCCTATTTTGAGCTTCCTCCTCACTGCAAGGTGTTGGGACCATGAAGTGCCACAGAACCAGGATCGCAGCGGGTCCCTGGCCCCAAGGTGCCAACAGGCCCCACCTGCCACTTCCTCCCCCACAGCAACCTGTGGTCACCGCCAGGGCAGGACCAGCTCAAGCCCAGGCCGGAGCGGTCGCATCTCCCACCCACACACTGAGCCGGGAAACAGACCCATGGCTGGGGAGAGGGGAGGGCCCCACCGGCCACAGGGTGCTGAGACGCAACAATAAACAGGACACGTGTAGGGTGACTTGAGCCTTTTTATTGCCCCTGTCCTCAGAGGCTGCCTTCTGTCGCCAAGGGTCCTGGGCCGAGTGTTGTGGTGGCAGCTGGCTTAGTTGGTGGATGGCCTAGGGACAGAGAGGAGGTGCTGAGGACAACAGCAAGGCAAGGGCTTCAGGCTCCCCAAGAAGGGTCCCCCAAGACCCCCGACACTTAGGCGGGGTGTGACAAAGGGCACGCAGAGCTGGGCCAACAGTGGGCCCCAGGCATGACACCTGCTACCTGGCGCCTATCTGCCCCTCTGCAAGGTTTGGCAAAGGACAATAAAAGACTGTCACCTCTAAAGAGGCTGGGTGACTGCTGCAGTGGTGCGGGGCCCACAGGTGCTGGGAGGAGACAGGGCAGGGGCAGGGGTCTTACTTGGCCCACTCGACGTTGAGGATGAGGTGGTCGTAGCCAAAGCCGGACACCCCAGCGATGGCGCGGGCGGCATCCTCGCGGCGGTGGAAGCTTATGAAGGCAAAGCCCTGGGGAGAGCAGGGCAGGGTCAGGGGGCTGCGAGCCAGGACAGATGACTGACCTCCCACCCCCGCATTACGGCCACCCCCCACCTTGGACTGGCCGGTCGTCTTGTCCTTAGCCAGGTAGATGCGGGAGATGGAGCCGAAGGGCCGGAAGAGCTCCTGCAGGTCGGTCTCCCGCGTGTCCTCTGACAGGTTGGTGACACGGATGGTGGCATTGTCATCAGCTGTATGGGTGAGGCGAGGTGGCTGTGAGTGGGAGGCCCCGCCCGGCCCCCACATGCGCACACAGCCCAGGGACGACGACAGGGTACTGGGAGCTGCCCACCCGGCGCTGGGCGCCCCTCACCTCTGCGGTTGGGCTGCATGGACTCCCCGCGGCGGCTGGCCCCGTCGCGCAGGCTCGGTGGCACGTACTTCCCCGTCTTGTTCTGGGCGGCCTGCACGGGCTCCAGCTCTGGGGACCAAAAGCACAGTCGCGTTCAGCCAGGAGGCTGGTGCCTCCAGCCCTGACCCGGCCCAGGTACCATCTGCCCAGCCACAGGCGTCTGGTTGGCCCCTTTGAGGCCAGGAGCCTCAGTGGTCACGGTGACACCAAGCTCCCAGCCAGGAAACCGACACCACTGGAGCACCTTGCCAGCCATGCTGGCAGAAACCACGGTGGATGTGGTCACAGGTGCCCACAGCGCTATAGGCCCCAGAGGGCCGAGAACCACAGAAAATAGAAAGGCCAGCCTTACAATTCAAGGGGACAGCAGGCACGGGACACACAGTAGGGACAGTCCTCAGGTCCCCGAGTGGCAGGTGACAAGTGCCTATCACATGCAAATCACAGGTAAGCTCACAAGAGGATGTGCCGGGCATCAAACCCAGACCATGCCACAGCATAGCGGTGCCAACACTGCTGTGTGTGTTGGGGGTGAGGTGACAGCCACAAAGGGGATATTGGGGGCAGTGCCCATACACAGTCAGCAGACGGTGACCAAGGGCTCCCTGACAGCGCACCCCCCGGCCCCCACCTCCTGGCAGCTTCTCCTTCTCGCCGGTGGACAGGCCCAGCTGCTCAGCCAGCTCCTTCTGCATGGGCCCCAGAGTGTCCTTGTAGGGGCAGCGGGTGGTCCAGTGGTCGCCCTTGCAGATGCGGCAGGACACTATCTTCTGGCCCTTGAGCTTGTTCATTGGGTCCTCCTCCTCCTGGCAGTTCAGGTCCTGGCAGGGGAGGGTGGGGGCAGCTCAGAGGCGGCTGCCGCACCTCCCCCCCTCACTGGCACACACCCCAGCCCCCCAGCTGTTGCCCCACTTACCTCTTTGCTGGTGATGAAAGTCATGGACACATCATCGCTAACGGTGGTGGTGGCCACATTGGGCCCCGGGGGGTCAAACTCTGAGTTCCCGAACTTCTTCCAGTTCTGTGCTCGGGGAGGGACGGGGGACGGGTCAGGGCAAGGGCAGGCAGGACCCCACACTGAGGCACCCACAACAGCTACCCCCAAAGCGTCTGGGCCTTAGGCCCCATTTCTCATCCTCCCAAACATCCCCGGAACAGTAAACGGCGACAGCTCCAGCAGGCAGGAGTAGCTCCCAGCCCCATGTTCCCTAAGAGAGAACGGAGGCAGGTGCAGGGTGGGCACGGGACAGAGGCACAGTCCCCATTTCTGGGCCCCGTGCAGGTTGGTGGACCAGCCCCCGCCGGGGAGCCATGTCCAGGGATGTGCGGAGGTCACCCAGACCACAGGGAACCTTGAGCCAAACCACCTGAGCCGCAGCTTCCTCCCCTATACAATAAGAGGACACATGCTTCCCACCTCCCTGGGCTTCTAGAGAGACGGAACAAACGAGCAAACACCTCCCGCGAAGTGCCTGGCGTGGGGTCTGGAACAGGGACACAGCAAAGAGCACTGACTGCTACCAATTCTTCCAGAAACATGCAGCCCTGGGGAAACGGGAGCCGCTACGACCACCTCAAGGGAGGCCTTGGTTCCTTTCCTCCGGGTTGACAGGCCAAGAGGATAAGAATCTAACCCCACCTGCTCCTGCGCCCCGGACTTTTCAGGGCTCTAAGAGAGTGCAAACACCCCAGTCCCTCATTCTGCTTCAACAAAATAGGCACAAACAGTCAAACCCCACCTCTGAAAACAAAGGCCCTGGGAGTAAGGATTCCCAACTCCCCGGGGTCAGCTCTGGGGAAGGAGGGGCTCACCTTCCTCCTTGCCACAGCCTTTGAGGCCTTCCGGGTCTCAATCCTGAAGGTGCGGACAATCTGTGGACGGGAGGGGGGAGGTTAGGGCTTCCCACACCTCCATCCAGGCTCCTAGGACCAAGGGATCTCCTTACCAACCACATCCCTAAGCAAGAGTCCCCCTTTCTCCGTCCCCGCCCCCTCACCTTGAACTTTTTGCCATCATCATCTATCTTGTACTCAGTCACTGTCTTTATGTTGCCATTGATGACCTCCTTGGGAGGCGGCAGAGGAGCTGGGAGAGGGAGAAAGGCGAGAGGGAGTGAGTCTGGGTGTCAGGGACCAGGCAGGACAGGGCTGGGGAGTGAGGCGGCCACAGGGGTGCAGTGGAAGTCATCACTAACCTCCTGGCAGTAGCTCAGGCTCTGGGCTGGTGTCCCCGGTGGCCAATGGGATCCCCCGGAGGAGCTCGCTGGTGACACATTTGTCTGCGAGAGGGAGCGTGGGGAGAAGGGATCAGCTCGAGAGGCTGAGATGGAAGAGCTTTTGGGATGACACCCACACCAACAGCTGAGGAAGGCAGGACCAGGGACAGAGGGCTCGCGGACAGTGCGCTGTGGGGACCCTGAGTGGCAAAGACAGAGGATCGCCAGCAGGAATATGGGGGACAGGCCAAAAAGCTGGCCGGGCGCTAGTACAGCGTCCTCGGAGAAGGGGAGCAGCTGCGAGGACGTGGCCAGTGGCATGGGAGGAAGGAGGACTGGCCGGCCAGCGATCGCCTGGAGATGGCAACAGGCTGGCCCCGAGGATGGCGCAGGGCTGGCGCTGGGGCTAGCTGCCGACGGGGAACGCGGGGTCGGATCGCGGTGTCAGGGTTGGCGGTCGAAGCAGGCCGCAGTGGCGGAGCTGGGGGCTGGCTGCGGCGACCCAGGGCGCCCGGGGACACTCACCGTCCTCTCCCTCCTCCTCCACCTGGTCGGCCCAGCTGGGCTTCGAACTGCGGGGACAAGTTTGCGGGGGAATCAGCGAGGCCCGGCCCCCACGGCCTCGGCGCACCCAGGCCCCGTAATACTCCCCAGGACCCCCCGACCGCCTCCCGGACCCCCACTCCTGCGACCCCCAACTCACTCAAAGTCTCCGGTCGGCATTACAGAAGTCTTCTCCACGCAGCCCTAGCCCGGGCCAGAGAGCGGAAGCGGGAAAGAACGAGACTTCCGGTGCTGCCGTCGATGGTCTAGAGCGGCCCGGCCGCGGCGCCCACAGCGCCACCGTGCGGGTGGAGGCAAAGCTGCTGGGCTATGCTGGTGCCAGACGAGGTGCCAGACGAGGGAGCAAAGGTGCATCTCAGGGCTCATCCTATTAACCGGATGGATGGATGGAAAGATGGATAGGTGGGTGGCTGGGTGGGTGGATAGATGCGTAGATGAATAGATGGATGGATGGATGGATGGGTGCTCACTCTTTTTTTTTTTTTTTTCTGAGACAGAGTCTCACCCTGTTGCCCGGACTAGAGTGCCGTCAGCCTAGCTCACAGCAACCTCAAACTCCTGGGCTCAAGCGATCCTCCTGCCTCAACCTTCCAGGTAGCTGGGACTACAGGCACGCGCCAC